AGAAAGAATTCCAAACACTCTAATAGTTGCAGATTGCATAAGCACGGCACTACTCATCATCTCCTTCAATGGTGGCGGCACAAGGTGGTTATGGTGGTTGAATGGTTGGTTATATGGAGGAATGGATGGGGAAGGTTTAGATATGTAGGGAGAGGCAAGGGAAGGCTTGGAGAATGGTTAATTTCTGGATGATTTGAATGAGGTTGCTGCCATGGTATTTATAGGAAAAGGATGGACTTGTTTAACACAAAATTCTGGTGGAATTGAGTAGGTGAGCAAGGCAAAGAGTGGGAATTGTTGGTGGGTTAGGTATTGAGTCATCCATGAATACATGTCATGGTGAGTTAAGCATTGCATCATCCACTCACATGTCATGGTGATTTAAGCATTGCATCATCACTCAAATTTCTGGTGAAAGTGAATCAATGCCCACGGCATTGAAGAATTTCTTGGTTTTGAGTGAAGTTTTGGTCAATCCTTCTAGAAATTTATCCCTTCCTGCAACTTGTATTTGTTTCACCAGATTTTTAGCATGTTCATAGCCTCTTTTGTCTTCAAATTCGTCCATCCTCATGCCTCCATGCTTGCACAATCCAATCTTGGCCCAAAAATGCTCTAGAATGTTCCAAATTGCTTCTTTTTGCATACTTTGACACTAAAACCTGAAATTGCACGAAAATAACTTTAAACACTATAATTATCATAGTTTAGCTAATTAAAAGCAAGAAAACAAGCTAACTAAGTCGTATAAATATGCTCCTATCACTTGCACTGGGTCGGGTGTTCCTTGCACCCCCACCTTCTCTTTGTTGTCTGCCCTTGTTGGTAGTGTTGCTCATGGTCTGCCATGAGCTTCTTTCCCTTGGCTGCCGATTCTCTGGTGTCTGTAGCTGGCCTTGGAGTGAAGCTTGGCGTTGGTTGCTGATTTTGGTGAGGCGCGACGTTGTTTGTGGTGCGACTTTGGCTGAATCGACATGCACTGCTGCGGTTTTGGTGGTTGCCGCGGCGGCTATGGCAGAAAACGCGTCGGCTCCGGTTGTTTCTATGTTTCTTTGCTTTCGTCTCACCTTTTGGTTGGGCTTCTGTTGTTTGTTTGTGTTTTTTGTTTTTGGACCTCTGCATTGTACATTTTGGGCCCTTGTGTTGTAATGCTGATTGTGGTTCATATTATGGGCAACTTTGCCCGAATTTCCAAAAAAAAAAAAAAATGATAGAATAACTTATATTAAATTCATCTAAACTAAAGGAAGGACGATTTGAACACGTGACTTCGAGTATATGAGAAGATGTTCTTAAAGAACTGAGCTATAAGCCACCTGCAATTACAATTTTTAAGTTAAAGTACTTAAGTGAAAATTGAGCTAAACCATAATAATTGACATGTGTAGGCGAGCGACTGATGGAAATGGATTGGGATTTCTATGTGTAGTACATCTGCATAACATGTTTATTTTGGTACAGAATCTGCTTAACATGCTTAAGCTGTAGTTTTACGATGTTGAGTTCTGGAACAGTTAGGCTTGTTTGTTTGCACAATCCTCAGGTGTGAGGTTTTATCACAAAAGGTATCGATGTTAGTTAGAGTAGGATAATTCTATTTAAAGTACTCTCTCTCTTCCCTCTTGGAAGATGTGGGACAACTAGAGGTTCCAACACTTGAAATCCACATCAGCTACCATGTGGAGCTAGTGGGGGCTCACCCATGGCGTGGGGCCAAACGGGGACCCACCCAAACACATGGCGGTACGGGCATGTGCCTTGGCTCTGATACGATGTGGAATTTTTCAGGTCGACAGGCCGATAACCCACTCCAACAACACTGATACTGTCTCCACTTAACCACCTGCACAATCTTTAGGTGTGAGGTTTTATCACAAAAGATCTCGATGTTAGTTAGAGTAGGGTAATTCTATTTAAAGTGTTTTCTCTCTTCCCTCCTGGCCAATGTGGGACAACTAGAGTTTCCAACAAGTGGGCTATCAAGAATGGCAAAACATAGTCTGTATATTGCTTGCAATCCAACAGGTTTTTGGTGTGCAAGTTACATATATATTTATTGTTACACAACAAACATTTTCTAGTTGTCATTCTACATTTTTGGACTTTTTATAAAATAAGTTTGGAAGCATTCAAAGCTAATTATTTTGTTATCTGGGAAAAGATAATGATAACTTACCTTTTTAGATCTTGTGACTTGAGGGGAGAGAGAGAGAACGATAAAAACATTACACCTATTTATGTTAAGGAGGCCTTACTACAATGGAACTGCTTTAAGTGCTAATATGGCTGGAAATGGCTACGTGACAAAGCTGTCAGACATGAGGCACAAATGGATCACTATTTGTGCTGCCTCTTTGAGCACGAAACATCCGATTGTGCTCTTTCAGCAAAGGACATGTCCATAGAGGACACACATGCAATTTTAGTTAGGGGATCTTTTAATATGGGTCTATAGTAACTAAAAATTAGACTTATTTCAAATGTAAAAAGTCACTAAAAATTGGACTCATTTCAAAAGTAGACCTATAAAATTGAACTTATTTAAAATTTTTCCTTCTAGTTAATAAACTATTGCTATTGTTCTATGGGCACATATATCGGTGTCCTTAAATCTTATATGTATGAAAGTTTGTGGTCATCAAATAAGTCATAGATTTATGCGGAGGACACTCTCATACTAAAGCTTCTGTCGCGTCGCCCCCAAATTAATATGCTATATATATAGCTCAAGACTTGTTTTTGCTTTTGCTTGTCCAGTGTTTGGTTTTTTTGGGTCAAATCCATTGTTTGTTTTTTTTTTTACTTTGGTCAAATCCAATGTTTGTTTGTTTTTTTTTATTTATTCAAGTCCAATGTTTGTTTTTGACATGCATAACATGTAAATATATAACCAATCAAAGAAGCTGGTTTATGGGACGAAGTAAAACTTGGCCCTTGTTGATGTCAATTTTTGAGCTAAACTTAAATGAGAGGGTATATCATACAAACACAAGAACAATTTTTGGAGAGTAAAAATGTCTTAGGATGAGAGGGTGAGCTATAGGGTCATGCATGATTCTTCCTTGCACATTATTTTTTTATGAGTGAGCGGTTGAAATTTAACTAAATGTTAGATTTTAACGGTTATTTATCCATTTTTGGGTTTTCTAGATGGGTTAAGTGAAGCCAAATTGTAACACAACATATAATAAGGACAAATTTCTATCTCTTCCTAAGAACACTTCTTGCCATGCAAAAGCAAATTACTGTTCAAGATCCATTAGTATGTCGTGACTTTAAAAGGCACCTGGAAAAACATGATAAAACCTTAGTTGTTTAATCTTGACTCAATTAAATTAAAATTTCTTTAAATTCTATCAAACTTTAAAGTTCCTCGTTCAAACTCATGCAACCCTTTGGAGACGAAATCATCGGAATGGCTGTGGTCCAATCTCCAGATTTAAACTTACGTCATCCTCTCGAGTCACATTTCACTCCTTGCAATAAACAAGGAGTCGGACTCCATAGATTCGAAAGATATTTTAATAAGCCTGAAACAGAGAGTGGCACACCAACATATTATTATACATATGGAGGAATACTTAAAAAATAAAAATAAAAATTTAACCACTCCAAATAAGGATATGAATCCTAATGTACATCCACTTGCATGCAGTAAAATGTCGGAACCTAAATTTCTAATTTGTGTTTTCAATAAACCAAAGATTAATACCAATTTATAAACATAATAGTGATTAGGAAGAATTTGTTATGAGTAGTGAGCGGTTGTTGGATTTAGTCCAATTTCTTTATTTTTCAACTTTAATTAATTATTTTATTTATGCATTTTTACTGAAATTTTTAATTCGAAAATCTAACAACTTTCATGAAAAATAGTTAAAAGAAAATTTATATATCATTATATATGATATCTATACCATAGGTTGTTAAATAACTTTTAATATGTGATAGAGTTATCTTCAAAAATAAATAAAAACTAATCTACCTCTACGAAAAGTTCAAATTTTTTATGTTCCGTACATTTAACAATCCATACTAGTATCTATGATGATATAAATATATAATACAACATATATTAGTTAACATGTGATGGAGTTGGAAGAAAAAGTTGATACAAATGAGAAACAATATTTAATTCTAAAATCAAGTAAAAGATAAACCTATAATAAGGGATAACACATTTATCACAATCTAATAAAAGGATAAAAAAAATTATGTAGATATTCAGTGAATGGATCTGACTCAACAAAGTGGATTGAATCCATAGTGACTCACAAAATTGAACTTATATCAAGTTTACCCTTATGGTTTTTAACCCAATCACTTCAACCATTAGCTCAACTGTCCTAAACCTAATTTATGTTTTTATATCCCTTTTATTAGACAATTTAAGAATACTGAATTATGCTAGTGGTGGATTGTCATGGTAATTAGTATCTTTCTCTTCAACATGTTGTGTCTTGGGATTAGACATTTGCTCCCCTTAATGTAATATTAAAAAAAAATACAATACAAAATTTGAGCACATCACTACTCTTTTTTCTTGAAAAATATTATTTTCAGGCGTTAATTAATGCTAAAAATTTCCTGAGGAAAAAAACCCATGGTAATATTTAATAGATCCGTTGTTTTTTGTCCCAAATAAATATGACAAGAATTGTTTGCATTACGTTCTAAAACGTAGCACACCTTTGAAGAGGAGCCCACGTTATATTTTGATTACTCTAAGAATAAGATATTAAGATCGATTGTGTTTCTTCACACTGGACTCTCCTGAATGCGATCAACTTGATAAGAACTTTATTTCCCTAGAAGGATAAGAACACCTGTCGAAAAAGATACACACTGTACAGCTAAAAACCTTTCAGCATTAAACACGTGATCAATCAGAATAAAACTTTGAATATTCTTTATTTTTGTAAATTAATTAGTTTTTCATGTCTATATATAGAAGAGGAGGAGTCTGCCGTTCTTATATGTTTCTGAGTTTGTTTTATATATGTTTGTGAGTTTGGTTTAGAGTTTTGAGGTGCTCTGAATAATATAACGATGTGGAAGATGGCGGTTCTTGTAGTATTTGGTCTGCTATTGAGCTTGGCAATGGTGTGTAATGGAGGTATTACAAGCACTTTTGTGAGGAAAACTGAGAGTACTGTCGATATGCCTTATGAAAGTGATGCCTTCCAAATTCCTCCAGGCCACAATGCACCTCAACAGGTAAAATTTCCTTCCCTCTCTCTCTCTTGAACCCTTTTACGAACCTTAATTTTTTTCTTGAGTACAAGCGATATTCTACACTAATCTACACTAAAAGAAGGGAGGTTTGAACCCCAGAAGCAATGGGTTAAAGAGGAAGGCCCTAACCATAAGGACAATCCACCACACGAACATTATAATTTTGTTTTTGAATATTTATGTCCTTGTTTCATAAATTTGATGAAATTGATTAAATAGGTTCACTCTCCATATTTTTAATTTTGTCTAATTGTATGATTTTTGTGTGGTTTGAATATTAAAGGTTCATATAACACAAGGAGATCAAGAAGGGACGGCAATGATTGTGTCATGGATCACTCCGGATGAACCAGGTTCTAGCGTAGTGCTTTTTTGGAGCGATAAGCATAAGACAAAGAAGGCAGAGGGCAAAGCCAAACAATATAAATACCATGATTATACTTCTGGTTACATTCACCACTGCACCATCAGAAAATTAGAGGTAAAATTTTCACTAACCTGTTATGTATTTTCTTTTATTTTATTTTTCAACCTTGCAGTTAAGTTCTTTTGCATTCAAATTTGGATCAATTTTCTCGTTTTTTTTTAATTTTCTGAAATATTATTGTTACAAGCAGTGTAAATATTAATTTTATAAAGTTATATTTTCATCTCATTATATTTTCTTTTTGCAGCACAATACCAAATATTACTACAAGATTGGAATTGGCCAAGCTGAGAGGACATTTTGGTTTGTAACTCCTCCTGCAGTTGGGCCAGATGCCCCTTACACATTTGGTCTTCTTGGTAAGTAATGTTTTTTACCACAACAGATGGTTTACGTTTTTGCTTTGTGATGTAAATTGTGGGACTGACTACAATCACCATCTGCCAAATGTGGAAATTGTTGTTTAATTCTGAAACTCACTAATTAATTAAAATTGGGTTTAATTATTTGCAGGGGATTTAGGTCAAACCTTTGATTCAAACAAGACACTTGCTCATTACGAATCAAACCCATTGAAAGGCCAAACAGTTTTGTGTCTTGGTGACCTATCTTATGCTGATAACCATCCAAATCATGACCAAGTTAAGTGGGATACGTTTGGAAGGTTCATTGAGAGAAGTGCTGCTTATCAACCTTGGATTCATACTGCAGGAAATCATGAGATTGATTATGCACCAGAAATTGTAAGCATCTCATATAATTCGCCTTTTCATAATGCACATATTTTTGTTATGATGAATGGATTTAATTGAACATCTCGTACTTGTACGAGAAATTGCAAGGGTTAGGGTTTGGGGTTAGGGAGTGCTCAATTTTTCTGACAGAAGATTGCAATTTCTGTTGCAGGGTGAAACAAAACCTTTCAAGCCTTACAAGCACCGGTATACCACTCCGTTTAAAGCATCGGGGAGTACTGCTCCTTTCTGGTACTCAGTCAAGATAGCTTCAGCACACATCATAGTCTTGTCTTCATACTCATCATACGGTATGGAATTCTAAATTATTTTTTACATTAGTACTGGTTGCTTGAATTTGCAATGATATCCTTGTTATATTTTTTAGTCAATTATAACTTCGTAGTGAAATCTTCTGAATAATTTCTCTTTATCAAATTGGGTGCTTCAACAATTTAGTTTAACACAAATTATAATTTACTTTTTTTTTTCCTTAAGGTAAATACACTCCTCAGTATAAATGGCTGGAGCAGGAGCTACCAAAAGTTAACCGGGATGAGACACCATGGCTGATTGTTTTAGTGCATTCCCCATGGTACAATAGCTACAACTATCACTATATGGAAGGGGAAACCATGAGAGTCCAATTCGAGTCCTGGTTTGTTCAGCACAAGGTCGATGTGGTATTTGCTGGACATGTCCATGCCTACGAACGATCTGTAAGTTCTCGATACACAGAGTCTGGCGGTGCTATCTACATAAATAAAATTTAAACCACTCGTATTTATCTTCCTTTTTACAAGTGATGTGTATGTGCTATGTAATGCAGGAGCGTGTATCAAATATTGCAAATAACCTCGAAAATGGTAAATGTTCCCCGGTGAAAGATCAATCTGCACCTGTCTACATTACAATTGGCGATGGAGGAAACATTGAAGGCTTAGCAACCAAGTAAGTATGCATGCATTTGTAGTCTTTTTAAGATATATTCAACGGCTTCCTATTTGGTTTGCTCTATGAACTCCATGTTTTTTTTATTATTGTCGTGCAGTATGAGAGACCCACAACCAGATTACTCAGCTTACAGAGAGGCCAGTTTTGGTCATGCCATTTTTGACATCAAGAACCGAACTCATGCCTACTATAGCTGGCACCGGAATGATGATGGAGCTGCAGTCAAAGCAGATTCTATGTGGTTTTTCAACAGATATCATCATCCTGTTGATGACTCCACAAGTTCCCAATCTTGATCGATCATGCAATGTTAGAGAACTTTTAGATTGTCGATGTTGAATAGTTTCAATATTTTCTTCATGTACTTTTTACATCATTTCCTCCTTCTCCTTCGGATTTAGGCAGGCTTAAGGTTGATAAATATAAATGTTTATGGTTTGTTTTTTTTTTTTTTTTTTTGCTCACTTTACGATTCAGATTTTGTGTTATGAATTGAATTAGACATCTGCAAAGCGGTATATGTGCTCTAAGACCATCTCCAAAAGAGATGTCAAATTTTAAAAATAAAATTTGAATTTGACAGCCTATGTTGTACTTTGACATAAAAAATTTTAAACTTGCAATATTGCTACATAAAAAGTTCCACTTACAATAATATTGATGCATACAACCTTCCTTCTATTCACAATTTCGTGTCAATAAAAAAAAAAAAAGAGGATATAAAATTTGAGACTTCTTTCAACATTGGATTGAGTGAAGTATGACTCAATCGTTAGTCAACAGATAACTTGAAGCCTACCTCTATTGATCTTGCCATGTAGGCTTAAGGTTAGTTCACATAATGTTTTTGTAAATATGTTTACATAATTTTAATTTTGAGGTGACAGTTTAAATTTTGGTGCAGGAGCACATCCGTTTTAATCACAACATGATTGTGCCCGCACTTGCGATTCGTAGAAAATGTTACAGGGGTCAAAAGCATCGAAACAACTGAGAAAATAAGTTGCAATTTGACCTTCAGCTTAATTACGAGAAACTAATACTACAGAATATGTAGTAAACTTTTGCATGTTGTGCAATTAGGTGTGAACTGTGGCGAAGCCATGATTTGCCGAGAGGAGGGGCAAAATTCAAAAGAGTGCAAGGTTCAATCGAAGCAGTTGCTTTCATATTGGAGAGTGCAAAGTTTTGAGTTAATATTCATAACAGAATACAGTCTCTTTACCAAAGCAGTTGTAAGCGGTAATTAATATACAAGCCATGTAAGAAGCTTAAATTGGTTATGATTAGATTCTAAAAAACGTTAGACGCTAATCAAGCAATGGACTAGGGCCTAGCAACTAGGCGCCTAGGCAAGATTTAGGCAGGAGCTTAGATGAATTTAAATGAATTTCTTTTATCGTAAAACATACATTAAACAATATTTACATTATTTTTTAAAAATTAATACAATATTTATAGATAATGTGAAAATTTAAGATAAATAAGGGTCTTAAAAAGAGGGAAAAAAATACGTACAAGAATAATAAATAAATAAAAGAGAGAAATGGGTTAACTAGGGGTGGGCACGGGCCGGGCCGGGCCCAAATTTATAGGAACCGGACCGTATCCGTTGTAAATAGTAACGGGATGGGTCGAACCGGGTCCACAGGTCCCCGTCTCTCTTGCTCATCTCTCCCAATCCCAAATCAAGGTCTCTATCTCTCGACTCCGATCAACAACGATATTGTCAAACACCACCTAGATGCTCCAAAGTCTAAACTCCACAACAAATTCAGAAAAAAAAGAAAAAAACCTCATCTCAGATTTCCCACCATACTTGTAGGTTAATGAAAACCCATAGGCTAGGCTAGTAGGAAGAACTAGTTGCTGCATGTACTCCTTCCATCCAAGTTTAATAGCTGCTACACCTTTATCCACTGATTAAACATAACCAGAGTAAGGAATGGAAATTCCTAGTCAATAATAAAAGAGACATTTTTCAAGCAAAACATTGAAACAAAGTACGGAGAAGAGAAATTACAGCAAAAGGCAACAATACCTGCAGATTAATGAAAACCCAGCAAAATCTATAATTAATACAAAGTTATTAATCTCCTCAAACCATACTTGCAGATTAATGAAAACCCAGATGGTCCTGGGTTTCCTGAACTTCTTCCAGGAAACGACGTCATCAGAGTACAAGACACCAACGTGGATCTTCCCAAATTCGACCTGGAACTTGTACCACTGGGTGCTCCCAAATTGAACCCTGCCCATACCAATACATTGGAGTTGATGCAATTGGTTTCTATTCCCAACCAGAGTCGTCCTAGCCTTATCAATCAAATCCTTCAAAACCCAAAACCCAAAAATCAAAATTAAAAACTAAGGGCCTATTTGGTATCCTACTAAAAAAAATTATAATTCTTAAAACCAACTTGGATGAACTTCTCTCAAGAACAATTTTTTTTACAACCTAAAAACTTGTTTGGTATCTAACCTGGAAACTATTTTAAATCTTCAAGGATTTAGGCTATATAACCTAAAAACTTGTATGTATAAAACCATTATGTGGCAGTGGCTGAGGGAGGATATTAAGGTCGGGTCGAAATTCGAGAAGCGACCCGAAAAATACTCACCAAGACCCAATATCTTGACGACTTGATTTGGAACTCTCAATTTCACACTTCATACTATGAGGTCATGTTGTCTTCAGATGGGTTTTGTTCACATATATGGTGGTGGGTTGCTAATTTCAAATGTTGCCATTGAAATTAAGCAAATTGAGTTTGAAATAAAGCTTTGGTAATGGTGGAGAGGTGAGGTTGGGACTTGCGGGTGATTAGAGTGAGAGGACGGTAGGTTAGGGATGGTAGGAAGAAAATATCTAAGTCGCCGGAAAGATCCATGTCATGGTCTCCGGAACATCTCTCTCAGTCGTTGGAAACATATCTCTCATCACCGCCAATTACTCTCAGTTGATGTTTGGTGTCCCTGGCCTCGACGCCAAGGTCCTGCAGATGTCGCGAAGAAGGAAAAAAAAAGTAAAAACAAACTTTTGTTGTTCTCAGATTTTAGGCTAGTTTTTGAGTTATTTTTTAGTTCAAGTTTTGCAAAATAGGCTTACCAAACAAATTTTTGTGAATTGAGAAACTATTTTTGAGTTAAAAACCTTGAACTCAAATAGAATACCAAACAAGCTCTAAAGTTTCCCAATTTTATCTGAAAAAAAATTGAAAATTACCTGTTTGGCCGAAAGAAGTTCGTGGCACTGATATTCCAAAGTCGACAATTCTTGTTGAATCTTCTCTATCCTCGAAACCAGCTTCATCAGGTTCACATTATTTGGGTAGATTTGCTGGAACTCCCTCTCAAGCCGGTGCTGGACCACCATTAGAGGAGGGTTTTGGGGACGACTGACGGAGAGTGACGGAGGGGAGGGGACGACGCACGCTTGACAACGAGAGAGAATGAGTTCGAGGTCCAGTCTCCAGTGACAAAGTTGAGGACTTGAGACGAGAGAGAGAACCTAAGGTAAAACTAACGGTTCAGATTGAATGGTAGTTTACTCTTCAATCTCGTTCATCCATTGCAATTACAAATAGGTCGGTCAGGGTACCTGTTTTTCTATACTTCTGGAACCAGCCCGCCCTTAAATTTTCAAAGGCCAGCCCCACCCAACCCCTCACCACCTCGTTTCTCTTTTTAAAAATTAGGAATTGGCCCATACCACCCCGACCCACGGTTCCTATACTCGTTTGGCCACCCCTAGGGTTAACAAACCACAAAAAAAAGGTGGGGTCATAAGAGAAAAAAAAAAGGAGAATACTTGGGTACTCACTGGGAGTGCCCAATATACTGATTTTTTATTATGTAGAACAATTAAATAATGATACATGTCCATTTAACATATAACCACTCATCTTTTATTCTTCTAGCCAAACATGTGTTATTCTGCTATCCAAACACATGTATTCTTCCTTAGTGAAACACTACCCAGCCGTCCATCCCAATCCACCATCTTTTCCCACCACCACTAACGAGAGTAGCCCAATTTACCATCCTTTAAACACATTGATCCATCTCATTCCTTCCTCCCTTGATTTGGTGCTACCATCACAAATCTACCATGGTTGTTGTCAGACCCATCCCTGTCCTTTCTCCACCCACTCGCCTCTCCTCATTGGAGAGTGCTCCTAGGCATGTTTTCCGACGAAGGGAGGGGCGGCCGCCACTCCTCGCCCTAACGTAGCTTCGCCACTAGGTGTGAATACCATAAACATAGTACGCCAATAGTCGTTCAGTCTCTTGACATTAGAAAGATCTATTTCACCCAAAAGAAGATGATGACATGGTCCTTGGTTCAGAAGTATCATATCTTAGTGCAATAAGTCGTTTATTGTATTTAGCAAAATGTACTAGACATGATATAGTTTTTTTTAGCCAACTTGGTAGCAAAATATAGCTATCCTCCAACAATTCAACATTGGAAGGGCATAAAAGATGTTTTAAAATGTCTTCGTGAGACAAGGGCCTACTTTGCTTCAAGAAACTACAAATGACTAGAATCTTGTTGGATATAAAGATGTTGATTTTCTCTCCGATTTACATAAAGCCCGCTCACAAACTGTATATGTGTTCACTTATAAGAATACTGCAATCTCATGGCCTTAGTGCGTTGTATATGATTACACCAACTTACAAATAAGTCCGATTGAAGATTGCAGAATCAGGGGGAGTTACTCATGCATGTTGTACTTTTTTTTACCTTCGACTTGGATTTTTTTCATTGGTTTTTTTAACAAGATTTTAACGAGGCAACAAAACGGCACTCAACACTATATAATGATCCAAGCAAAGTTGTGCCATTTTTCCTTTGCCATGATATTTCCCTCTGAATATTTTCCTGGCAAGGTTTTAAGAATACAACTGATATGGATATGTGTGCATCCAAGGTGGAGAATGGTGAAATTTGGTGTGAATGCCACACATAGAAATGCATAAAGAAGCAAAGATGCATGCAACCACAATTGACTTTGGTGAACGAATTAAAGACTTTAGGTAGAAAAGTTTTAGGAAGATGAAATAGTAAATTGGATGAGGAATTTTATCATTCCACATTTACTCCTTACCGATGTAAGACATCCCTATATAAAGGGACCCTTGCAAATGTAAAGACTCCCATTTTCTCTAATTCGTACCAAGAAATCTATATCTTGCACTTATTGAAAATTCTTAGCAAGTGCTCTCTTTTCTGCCTATTTATAACATTGCATCCAATGTACATTGTATTAATGACGTTCTTTCTTAGAATAATTGGTCAACACTCATGACACAAGTACAAAGTTTAATTTTCAACTTTAGCGTTGTCGTACAGTATACATGACTTTTTAGTGTTCAGATTTACCCGTTAAATTCCCTGGCCCTTCAGTCGACATCCAACAGCTATATTCAACTATTTCCA